GCACTGAGTAACAATTCTGTCTGTCCCTGATTATGAATTCTGTGGCCCTAACTAGCGTTTCTTTGTCCCTAAATAACGATTCTGTGGCCCTCATTAACAAGTCTGTGTCCCTGAGTAATGGTTCTCTGTCCCTAAGTAACTTTTCTCTGTCCCCAATTATCGTTTCTGTGGCCCTAACTCTGTCCCTGTCCCTAGTACAGAGCGGTCTGCCTCTGTTCAATAACTGCAGGCAAATGAAGAATTCCAAAATGGCCGCTATTTATAGCTCGACCATTACACAGTGCTGGCTGGCTGGCTGCTGATAGGCTGATGCGATCACATGTAGTTGAGGCATGCATTATGGGTCAGCGCGCCTTGTCTGCGCGCCTTCCCAGACATCCCCGCTCCGTCGCCGCACATGTCAGCCGCCATTTTCTGAAAAATTTCGATTCGCGCGTCCGAATTAGGCTATTTTTCGGATTCGGCACGAATCGAAATTTTTCAGATATTCGACTCGAATTCCACTTCGGATACTTCGATTCGCTCATCTCTAGTCACTGCTGCAGCAACTAAATTTCAGTTAGTGTGTGGCCAACTTTACTAAAGAGCATATTTATTTCAGCACTTCAATGGCTTCCTACCCCCCATTCAACCTTTAAAATCCACCATTGTTCTTAGGTTTTGGAGATATTTGGCTTCCTTCCCTTCTCCCATGTGACAGTGTTTAGCAATAGTCCTCAAGGAGCCCAGTGCTGCCATGTAGGGGCAAAGAGAACGTTCTTGGTCCTGTGTAGGCTCCCAGTGGCAATTTTGAACTTATACTGGACTTATTCGACTATTTGATGGTGCCTTCATGGACTTGACTACTTTTCAATGACTTTTCGCTTGAGTACCATGTCAATGTCTCGATTTTTGTATCATCTGTCTGGCCATTTGATGCTGCCTTCATGGACTTGACTACTTTTCAATGACTTTTCGTTTGAGCACCATGTAAAATGATTGCTCTATTTCTGGATTAATGTTGACCAGTGCATGCACATAAGGCTAGTTATGATTTTTCTTGACTGAGAGCGAATTCAGCTATTAAAAATGAGTTTGTTCTCATTGGATTCAACAAAAATTTTCCATCCTTGTCCTTTGATTTCTTTCTTTGCTTTGGTCAAAGCTGATAGTTAAATTGCCCATTTTATCCTCTTTATAATTGAATGAACATTCTAAAAAAGACAACTTTCTAATAAAATTCTATAGGTGAAAGTGCAGATTTACACAGGGATTTCTCTCCTTGTCCCTGGTAGCAGTGGAGGAAAGATGTGTACAGTATATGCACCAGGTCCTGTGACTCACCAGGAAGTGGGAGGATATCTTTCCGATGTGAGCACAAATGTCCATATCAGAAATGTTTTCTTCTGTTACTGTTCTGGTGACAACTTTAAATCTGGTCCTTTGACACAGAGTGGGCTCCAATGAGATCAGCAAGGGGTCTGTCTGCTGAACCTGCTGATTAGAGCAGAGTAGGCAGATGAAACATTCGTGTCTGCTCAGTTTATGGAGAGTGGACATGGACAGAGTTCTGCTCTATGGTCAGCTCTTCTATCGGTTTACATCCAACTGCCCTCCAATCTGATCTGCCTAGATGGAGACGGACGGATCCCCTTCCATTTTGTTAGTGAACTTGGGGTCCGTTTACACCTGCCGGTCCATAGGGGTGAATCATCTGTTCAATAAGGTCTACCTGAAAAACTGACAGGCAGACCTGAGCAGACCGTTCGTGTGAAAGTGGCCTTTTGGATTTACCCTCACTTTCATGCCTGCAGACATTGGTGATCAGGACAATTAGAGTGAATCTCCCTAATAGGACACATACAGCAATACAAAACCTTTCAAAGATTCCACATTCTCACCAATCCATCCACATTTTTGCCTTTAGTTATTTTAAGCACATCCTGAACCTTTCATTAGTACACTAGGGCAAGGTGGTCACAAAGGGGTTGTCATCACAGTATAGGTCCACTTTAACATAGGACAACAGATATATTGTATCGGCTTTGGTCTTATCTCTGAGTACAGCTGACATGCTTTCATAGACTTCCTTGCATGTCCCATCTTTAGGATTTTTCTTAGAAACATCTTTGGGAAGTGTTTCAACTGATATAAATATAGGACCAGGCCGAAGCACTATTCTGATGTGTGCTATATCTGAGCTGCGAAAAGCCTGTCTGTAGCCGCTCTGAACTGCCACTGGTCTTTCTCTTATCATAAAACCTTCTGCTAGTAAAGCCAGTCAAGCATGACCCACTGAGCCAGCAAAAAGCAGAAAGGAGAATCTTCAGTCTTTTTAAAACTTGTTTCATGAGAATGTGTTCGGCTTTCAAAATACTTTATAACAATGTGTTAATGTGTAAAAAAAATATGCAACATATATTTATACTCAGGGCACCTATATTTGCTTATTACATACACACGGTTAGTTACACAGTGATTGCACTTTTCTGTTCCTCCCACTGTGGTTTCTAGTCTATCATGTTATCATCTATCATCTTTTACTAATTAAATATATGACCAGCTCTACAAGAATGATAACTAATTTTTTCTCTGCGGCTATTTGTGTTATACATGTGTGTGTATAAATTGCAGTTTGAGCTACTGAGCTCTGTTAACAACAGCCTTTAAACATGGGGAAAGACGCTGAAAGCTCCATGTGTTGGCTAAAAATGCAAAATACTACTTGACCTATATACATATATTGAAGCCTATGAAGAAGGTACTTTTTATTTTAAATGGATATTCACTAATGCTGCCGCAAGTAAAAACTGATCACTTAAATCAATAAAAAAAAAAAAAAAAAATATTAAAAATATTCACCGTAAACCCCTATTTCTGGCGAGCTTGCATTGCCAAGGGTAACGTTATTAGGCCTTTTTATAGTATTCTGAGAAAGTTGAGTGTCCCATATCCCAATCATCAGTCTGGACTGGCTACTTACAAGATTTAGGATCCTCAACTTTCCCGGGATCCTTTGGTGAAGCCCTGTGATGTCGATGGAAGTTTGGTGAGTATTTTTAAATTTTTTCTTTAAAAAGTAGTTTTTATATTTATTGCTTTAAGTGCAGAAATTATGTTTATTAGAAGAGCTGCAACATAAGCGGACCGTGCATGTTTATGTAAAGTCTGCTTCAGAATAATAATATGATTTAAAAATTTTGACATCTATCTATTTATTTGAATGATAGGACCATTTTGAGGCACACAATTTTGGTTAAACATCAAGCCAGCACTTTGCCCACAGGCACTTTGTGTTTTTTGCAATTTGTCTGGGCTGACACACATTTGAGGTATCACCGCGAACGCCAGATCATGGGCAGTAATTGTAGCACCTGACCTCCTCTGTAAATGTAATTTGATAACCTGTAAAGGCTTTTAAAGTGTCGCTATTGTCATTTGTCGCCATTGCACGGGCAATTTTAAAGCGTGACATATTTGCTATTTATTCAGCGTAACATCATCTTTTATATTATACAAAAAATTGGATTATGTATCATTTTTTTTCTCCACTAAAATTCAAAAAAGCGGATTTTTTCCTAAAAAATTGCGTAAACCACTGCACAAATACCGTGTAACATAGATGACTGCAAAACCAAACAATTTATTCTCTAGGGCCTCTGCATTAAAATAATATACAAAGTTTGGGGGTTCTAAGAAATTTTGCAAAAAAAATTTATTGTGACATGTAAACAAAAAGTGCCAGAAAAGGCTTGGTCTTTAAGTAGAAAACTCATAACAGGTCTGTAATATAAATATAAATCCATGTCTCTGTTGTTGTACAGACATCATGTCTACTTATCTCCCAACCCAATCCTTCTCATTTCCTCTAACTCCGATCTAAGCTCCTTGGTTAAAGCTGCCTACGAACAGCAGATAATGACTAAAGACAGATCTCTGCACAAACATGCAAGTTCACATCAATACACATCAGATTTGGTGAATATTCTCTAGTGTCTGTGGAAACCTTAAAATAATCCTGTCCTTTGCCAATGCCAGGATTGAAGAAAATGAATGGTACTTCTAGATATGGTGAAGCATGTGACTCAATTCATGGAACAACACTGGACCAACCATCAAGCACCTGCACTGTCATATGAGTCTATGACATTGTGTAATCAATGGTTTGTGTTTCTCATAGCTTACAAAGCATGATTCGTCACTCCAGAGAACACATTTCCACTGCTCTAGAGTCCAGTGGCGGTGTGCTTTACACCACAGCATCCGACGCTTTGCATTGCACTTGGTGATGTAAGACTTGGATGCAGCTGCTCGGCCTTGGAAACCCATTCCATGAAGCTCTCTACGCACTGTTGTTGTGCTAATCTGAAGGCCACATGAAGTTTGGAGGTCTTTAGCTTTTGACTCTGCAGACAGTTGGCGACTTCTGTGCTGACCCCGCTCTGTCATTTTACGTGGCCTACCACTTTGTGGCTGGGTTGCTGTTGTTCCCAGTTGCTTCCACTTTGTTATAATACCACTAACAGTTGACCATGGAATATTTAGTAGCAAGGAAATTTCACAGATGGAGTTATTGCACAGGTGGCAACCTATCACAGTATCACGCTTGAATTCACTGAGCTCCTGAGAGCGACCCATTCTTTCACAAATGTTTGCAGAAGCATTCTGCATGCCTAGGTGCTTGATTTTATACACCTGTGGCCATGGATGTGATTGGAACACATGAATCCAATAATTTAGTGGTTCCTCTAGTGTCATCCACATAGCTGTAGTCAATGTGTCCAACCATATAGTAGCTGGTCCCCCTCTTCATCTGGTGCCTTCGATCTTCCCAAACATTATTTCCCTCTCCAGAGATGACCAAAATAGGACAGTTGTAACTTCAAAATTTGGGCTTCCAATAACATAGCTGGTTTGATCTTTTCCAAAATTGAAATATTAGTTTATATGGACTGTCTGGGGTTTCTTGATATAGTGGTCTCAATGTCGCCCCTGACACCACCAAAGGGTCACACAGAAAATTCAGTTATTTTATTTTCCTATGTCAAAGGCTGAAAACATGAAACAGGTGATGACCAAAGACTAGAGATATGCTATGGGAGAAGGTCAAAAGACTGAAAACAAGCTTTAGAAGTTTTTGTTGACTGAGAGCATGCTTAAGAAGACAACCCTTGATTGGAGACACATTACATGAGACTTCCAGATATCACTGGTATTGCCTCCCATTCCATGCTTCCTCATTTGTGCTCCATTTAGCCACCAAAAAAAATTGCTAGCACCTAAATAAGGAAAATGCAGAATACTGTGTGCAGGGGCTACAAACGAAGCACAGTAAGTGTCAAAGAGCTGAATGTGGCTCTTGGGGCCCTGCAAATTGGTTGAAATTCAAAACCCTGAACAGTTCTGCCAACACCACCCTGCTTGACCAACTTTGATGGAAAAATCAAAGAATAAAAGTCAGCTGAACAGTGATTGTAGCAAACATGTGTGTGTCGGCTGTAAGCAGACAAAAGCCGATAGTGGAAATGTGTCCATACAAGAGTGGATGGGAAATCTATGGATTTGATATGTTCAGCCTACTGAGCTGAATCAGAGGAATCTTCACGTGTATGGCAAGCTTTCTAATTCACGTGCATGTGGGCATGTTAGAGTATGTTAGAGTACTCAAGTGCACGACTCCCTGTGCACCAGCTCAATAGCTTTTTTCTCTGCAATAGTTTATCCCTTATCTGAACCTAAAAGATAGCCAATCTATTAACTCATGTAAGACACAAAGGAGACTTGCAGTGATATCATACAGGCTTTAGTTCCCAGGTTTGGTGATATCAGTACTCCGATAACAAGCACTGACATCACTAGTATGTAATTATATTGGTGCTGTGTAAACTCACCTGGAGAATACAAATATCATAAAAGTCACAGTGACAGTAGAGAAAAGCAAGATGTGTCTTTTGTAAAGTCTAGAAGTGCAGTAAAGCTGGCTATGCATGGCTCAGTTTTTTTCATTCAGCCAGTTGGTTGTGCGAAAAAAAAACAACCATTTTCCTTTTCCACACATTCCAGTTGGATGGGGAAATCCTCCCCACTATGTCATTGTATTCCGACAGTGAGACTCCCCACCAGCAAAATGCACTAAACAGTGCTGCAGCTGACTGGCTGCATGTGCTGATCGAGCTAAAACATACCAACAAGCCCCTTCATGAAAAGCCAATTGAAATGTGGCCGGTTCAGCACCAATGCTGCAGCAGGGAGGTGAGTATAGATGTTTGTTTTTTTTGTATTCCCACACTTCTCCTTAAAATACACTAAGCTCATTCTTTATTCTTTTATTTATTCTTATATCTCAATTTACTGTTCATGCTAATGCACCATAAGCTGTAGATATAGCAATTATTAGCAGGGGTTGCCTGAAATCTTAAAGATATTTCAGTGGTTTCTTTGTGTTACTAGTACACACGATCAGAAAATCATACACAAATACCACTTTCAAAATGATCGCACAATAATCCGATTCGTAGTACACAACTTTCGTCCACAATTATTTGAAAGAACAAGCACGAAAATGTTTCTCGTACAATACCAAATCGTATGATTTTTGTTTAATCGGCACAGTTTGCATTCAAAAATGTAATACAATACATGACCAGGGGACTAAAGATGGCTTGATCCAGTCCCCTTCAACCAATACCTACCCCCCCCCTTTTAAATAAGTAACCACACAGACAACAAAAACTGCAGTTAATGGCCCAAAATGGCCTTTTACTACAACCATTAGTAAATAACATTTAAATAACAAAAACACAGTCAAACATACGTGTTCTAAGGTCCCAATAGGCATCAAGAAAATGAATACCTGCCTCCTGCTTAACTAGGCCTCCAGCCGCAACACCACCGACTCGGAGACACCACTGCAGATACCCCCACCAGAACAACTGAAAGCCGTACCACAGACAGGTTCCTACAAAGTGCCTTTCTTGTGCCCACAGTAAGCAACGAGGACATTGCACCCCGCCGGTTATTCCCCAGCACCAACTGGGCACAACCACCACCAAAAACAAACAAACGGGCAGGAGGGAAGTTTGTCTTGTGAAAACTCTCTTCTGACTGAAGACCCCCCTGCCACAACCTGTCAGACCACCCCTTGTGGCTCCACCCACTCCCTCCTTAAAACCATTTAGACTCCCCCCTTAGCTAATGGGACTCTCCCAACACCCTTTAACCCCTGTCATGCCTGCCCTTCGTTCAGGTCTTCTTCTTTCTTTCTTCTACTCCGGGCCTCCCTTTACATTGATCTCAAATTCTGTCATACAAGAATTTTCGTAACTTTAGTAACCACTTCACATTTGATATGAGACTGGCATGCAGAAAAAAAAAAAATGGGCGATCATTGGTCCGATATTCTCATCATGTGTACAGGACTTTAAGCTGGTTGAGAGACTGCAATAAAGAGACAACGTTTATTCAAAAGAGAAGTATGGCCAAATCTCTTTTGACCAAATTTCTCTTCTGGGTCATAGGAGTGCACTTACATTTACATTCCTGTGCCCCAGAGTCACAAGTCCAGGCTTTGGAAGGATCCACCCAGATGCCTGACCAGTAACTGGCTCACCACTAAGCCAACTGCTCCCGCCCTCTCCACAGCCAGGCACTCCAGTGAGCATTGGAGGGGCAGAGCAGAGCAGTGATTGAGAGTCATTGTTCTCTGTTCAGAGCAGAGAACTGAGTGATCAGCAGTCATGTGATCACTCAGTTCAGGGCCAATCACTCACATGTGATTGCAGCATAACAGATTACATTATTATTATTAATATATGTTTATTATTATACAGGATTTATATAGCGCCAACAGTTTGTGCAGCGCTTTACAACATAAGGGAGACAGTACAATTACAATACATTTCAATACAGAAGGAATAGGAGGGCCCTGCTCGTGGAGCTTACAATCTAAAGGAAGAGGGAGGTGATACAAAAGGTGATAACTGTGGGGGATGATCTGGCAGAGGTGATTCAAGTACAGTTCTTAGGTGGAGGTGGGGTAAGCTTCCCTGAAGAAGTGAGTTTTCAAAGATCGCCTAAAGGCAGACAGGGTGGGTGCTGACCGGACATGCTGTGGTAGGGAGTTCCAGAGGATGGGAGAGGCTCTGGAGAAGTCCTGGAGGCGAGCGTGTGAGGAGGTGATGAGGGAGCTAGAGAGGAGGATATCATGGGAGGAGCGGAGCCGGCGATTTGGGCGGTATCTGCGGATGAGGTTGGCGATGTAGCTAGGGGCAGTGTTGTGGATGGCTTTGTAACCTGTGGTTAGTATTTTGCATTTTATACGTTGGGTTATTGGAAGCCAGTGGAGGGATTGGTAGAGAGGGGCAGCAGTCGCTGATTGGTTGGTAAGGTGTAGGAGTCTAGCAGCAGCATTCATAATAGACTGAAGGGGGGATAGACTGTGTAACGGTAGACCAGTGAGGAGGGAGTTGCAGTAATCGAGGCGGGATATAACCAAGGAGTGGATAAGTTGTTTTGTGGTGTCATTGGTCAGGAAGGGGCGGATTTTGGAAATGTTCCGGAGGTTGAGGCGGCAGGATTTAGCCAGTGAGTGGATGTGGGGCCCAAAAGGAGAGGTCAGAGTCTAGGATTACGCCTAGCAGACTGGCATAAGGGGAAGGACCAATGGTTGTGCTGTAAAAGTCATGAGTTGGGGATCGGGAAGGAGGAAATATTACAAGCTCAGTTTTTGAAAGATTGAGTTTAAGGTAGTGAGGTGACATCCTCACTGATATGTCGCTTAGTAGATTTGTGATACGTGAGGAGATTGAGGGGTTGAGCTGGGGATTGGAGAGATAGATCTGGGTGTCATCAGTATAGAGGTGGTATTGGAAGCCATGGGAGGTTATCAGTTGGCCCAGGGAGGAGGTGCTAGTTGGTGCGATTAGCTGCGAGAGCTGTCAGCCTCCCTTTGCTTTCAATGGGGCTACCTACTCAGAGGTAATCGCAGGAAAGTACGCTGGGGTTCTCTGATCTAATCGCCAGCAGGTATGAATGCACCTTTACTGGTGCCGAAACTGGGTTCCGCAACTTAGATTGGCTGGGCCTAAATGATGTAAATCCCATGCATGCACGGGAGTTCATTCATTCCATCATGCACAGCTCAATGTAGATTCTAAAGATGATTGTGAACAGGCAGGTAAATGCTGAAGATCCTGCTTGCAATTTTTTTTTTACAGTTTAGTTCCACTTTAAGATGTATTCCAGTCCAAACAACACAGCGAAGCAACCTGCTATCTAATATTATTATTATTATTACTACGAGTTTATATAGCGCCAAAGGGTTTGCTCAGCGCTGTACAATAGGGGGGGACAATACATGGCACAGTACAACAAAGACAGACAGCGTACGAGGGGTAAGAGGGCCCTACTCTTACGAGCTTACAATCTAGGAGGGAGGGGGTAAAGGTACAGTAGCGAAGTGGCTGGGGGGGGTGAAGTGGTAGGAGGAATGAGGGAGGATGGCCGTTAGGTGAGGGTGGGGTAGGCTTCCCTGAAGAGATGGGTTTTGAGGGAGCGCCTGAATGTGAATAGAGAAGGCGACAGTCTGATGGATTGGGGCAGTGAGTTCCAGAGGATGGGGGAGGACCTGGAGAAGTCCT